AATAAATAAAATAAAAATAAAAAAGCAGAAAGCTGGCTTAAGATAAAATAGGTGATAAGTAAGATGAACAGATGATTAAAAAAAGAATTCCTTAGACCCATCCTGTAACATTAGCAACTGAGCACTAACCAATCAGCACTAATCGAGAATTGCTTAGCCATGGCCATTCGAACAGTGTGTACAATACATCCTGCCCTTTGCTGTCCAACTGATCCACCTCGTCCAGCACCAACACACTACATAGAAAGAGAAACAATTAGTATCCATGTTCACCTTCTTAACTTTCCCATCTGTTAGATCAGGGCTGACTGCAGCTCACATTCCTACAGCTGACACCAGTTTCAAGGTCATAATCTGTCCTCTCTCCAGTCACTGTCACACTGATACCCCTACCATCACACAAAAGTAACATACAGGTTTTTCAAGTAATTAGTTTAAGAACATTTTTTCCAATTTAAAATTAGAAGGTGTATTTTTCCTCTCTTCTTTCCCTTTAAGCATATGTAACTATCTCTTGTACAGCAAATATAGGAAATGTTCTTTTCTTGTACAAACTGATAAATTCAAGAGACTAGAATGTGAGTTTGTGGGCAGCAGACCTTGCAGATTTTCATGGAACAACATGCAGCAGAGCTGTACTTACATCATGGGGCCCTTCTCTGCAGTCATATGGTTTTCCAGTTTCTTCATCATGTCCTTCCCAGCTCGCCTGCATACTTCTTCCTGACAAATCTCCTGAGCAATAGCTGGGAATACAGCCTGGGCACTCCTCAAGGACATGCAATTCAGCATGATAGTTTTAAAGCCTTTCAGTTCCTTCTAGAAAAATGCAAATATGAGAGATATTTTGCCCTCAGATAAGGATTTGATGGAACCTGAAGTGTCTTTGGGGAGTTAACAGCATATAAGAGAATAAACTCTACTTTCATTTGGGGAGGTTTAGACAATGAAACTAAAAACATCTTATTTGAGGGGAGACTTCAATCCCCTAAGCGCGTCTACCTTTCTTAACCCTTAATAACCAAGTGTCATTTTAGCAAGAGCATCATATTTCAGACTCTTAGGGTACCTTGAGGTCTTGCAGAATTCGGCTTAAGCAGGCAGTTTTTCCAGTTCCAGGAGCACCAGAAAGATAAAGACTTCCAGCTTTTTTCCCACAGATGTGCTCCCTCAGGAAATTCCTGATGACATTCATCTCCTTTTCCCTGGCAGGCAGCCGATCCGGGACAGCTGTATTCAGGACCAGCTTTGCTTGCTGGTAGCAAGTGCCTGTGTCAGATGTGAAAGGACAATTAGATACAACAGAGATGACTGAGAAGATCCACTGGGTTTCATTTGGAGTCAACAGCCTTGTTTTCAACGAACCTTCTTGCTTGAACAGTCTCACACATGCAGATTCTTTCTCCACTGGACATCTCTGCTCAGAATCTGTTGTTATCTCTTGACCTTTTCGAACTGAGGAATGGATTTTGTTTTGGTGAGCTCTGGCTTGTTCTCTTTTGCTAGGAGACTTAATTGTCAGCTGATTGTCAAATACCAATCTGCGCCCCTTAGGTGAACGTGAGCAAGGGGGGCCATTCTCTTTCTTGCCTTGCTTTGGTGGAGAACAGGGTGGTAAATGGGGAGTGTTACACAGATTGTCATCACCTGAAATATATTAAAATCAAAACATGGTCATTCGTAGTAGTGGACAGTGAAAGGACTTGCAAAGATCTCTGCTTTTCCCAGAAAGAGGCAAATTTCTTTCTTTCTTTTTTTTTTTTAAGATTTTATTTATTTATTTGAGAGAGAGAACATAAGCAGGGGGGAGAGACAGAGGAAGAGGGAGAAGCAGGCTCCCAGCTGAGCAGGAAGCCCCACGTGGGGCTTGATCCCAGGACCCCAAGATAATGACCAGAGCCGAAGACAGACTCTTAAGCGACTGAGCCACCCAGGTCCCCCAAGAGGCAAATCTCTATAGTCAAAACCACCAAAATAGAATGCCTCTCGTCAAGAAGCAAATATTGGTCACCAGATGGCACCACTGAATCTTACAACTATTTGGTAGAGAGCAAAGGGGTTTAAGTGAGATGAAAATGCTAAGATTGTTCTAAAACCCTGTTTCTCAATCTTGGCACCATTGTAATCTTGGACCAAATAATTCTTGTTGGAGGCTGTCCTGTGCATTGTAAAATGTTCAGCAGGATCCCTGGCCTTTATCCACTATGCCAGTAGCACTCCCTCAGTTGTGACAACCAAAAATGTCTTCAGATACTGCCACATCACCCTTCATTAAAAACAAATGATCTGGGCGCCTGGGTGGCTCAGTTAGTTAAGTGCCTGCCTTCAGCTCAGGTCATGATCCCAGGGTCCTGGGACTGAGTCCCCATTGGGCTCCCTGCTCAGCAGGGAGTCTGCTTCTCCCTCTGCCCCTCACCCCTGCTTGTGCTTGTTCTCTCTAACAATAAATAAATAAAATCTTTAAAAACAAATGATCTAGGGCGCCTGGGTGGCTCAGTTGGTTAAGCGACTGTCTTCGGCTCAGGTCATGATCCTGGAGTCCCTGGATCGAGTCCCGCATCGGGCTCCCTGCTCGGCAGGGAGTCTGCTTCTCCCTCTGGCCCTCCCGACCCTCCCCCCTCTCATGCTCTCTCTCTCTCAGTCTCTCTCTCAAATAAATAAATAAAATCTTTAAAAAAAAAAAAAAAAGATCTAGAACAAAAAACCAGTGTTCTAAAACAAGAATATCACCTGCTTCTCTTAATTTCACCACTGAGGTGAAAGCTTCAAAATACTAGGTAGCTAACTGCAAAGTCACTTACAATACTGACAGAACTAAGTTCAAAATTAAGGAATTGAACACCAGAACTGTGAAGCAGTTCAGAAAATGATCTCAACAAGAGGCTTAACTCTGAAGTTCAGTAAATGAACACAGCAATCATTCTGAAAATAACCAAAGTGAACAAAGTGGTCTTAACCGAACTTAGGAAGCTGCTTCAAAGGACTAGGCATCTTATTATTGAGAAAAGAGAGGTCAACAGCTACCAGCCCAAAAGTTGTACTTATATTCAATGGATAGCTTACCCAGACGTTTTCTGGGGCTGAGAGGCAGAATTTTTACATTAGAACGGTGGGTGGCCTGGACATAGGTCAGTTCTAGTTTGGTATCACCAGAGTTTTTAGCTTTGTCCAATGTCCGAGACAGCTTCTTTTTTGGAAAACTGATTGTAGCCTGTGACTGGGATCGGGTTTGAGGCATGACGGCAACACGGCTGGGTACAAAAAAAAGAACAGGACAGCCAGTCAATAGCTAAGAATGAAGGAAAAATAGCTAACATGGAATTTATACCAATGATCAACATTTCATAAGTAAATTATAACAATATTTTAGCATTCAGTTCTGCTTCACAGCCAAATCTGAGCAATAATAAACACTTATTGTCTACCTACTATGTGAAAGACTATTGTTATAAGCATTTTACTTTTATTTTATTCTTTTTTTTTTTTTAAGGAATCTCTACACCCTACGTGGGGCTCGAACTCACGACCCCCCACCCCCACCCCAGATCATGAGTGGCACGCTCTACCGACTGAGCCAGCCCCGGCGCCCCTTAGGCACTCATTCATTTAAGTTTTACAACTACCCTAGAGGTCAGCACTCTTATTATCCTTATTTTACAGATGAGAAAACTCAGAGGTACAGAGGCCCAAAGTCATAGCAAACCAGGCATTCTGGCTCCAGAGCTCAAGTTCTTAACACTTGAGTGATGCAATAAGTTTATCTCAACAGATTTCTACGGTACTTCTAATTCCCTCACTCCAGGCACGGGGTGTGTCTTTATCACTAGCTTAGCCCAGCATCCTGCCACGTTTAGTCTTCCCTCCGCCCGGCACTCGGTCCCCACCCCACACCCTCTCAACCCCACCCCGGAACATCTCCCTCCTACAACATTCAGCCCCTTTATTCCACGCACGACTGCCAGCCTACTCCTTTCCCTTACCCCGACCTCAGACCTCCGGCGATCTGAGCTCTTCTCCCCTCACTTCACCTCGGGCCTCAAGGGAGGCAGCGGCCCTTGCCATAGCCCTTCTCCCAACTCCGCAGCCTCCCAGACCCAGGGCCTCCCCGAGCAATCCTCTGCTCTCCACCTCACAAGGCTGAGTCACCTCAGTACCGGCTCTTCCTCACGTCTCTCGCACACGGCTTCAGGGAGTCTTCAGGCCAAGCTACCGAATAAACTACACACCAGCGTCAGTAAAGCCCAGCCGCGCTCGCGCCAAATCTGCAAAGCCTCAGCTTTACCGCCTCCCGCCAAAGGCCGACCAGGTTTCTGATTGGCTGTCGCTAGAGCACCGCGCGCCTTGGCCAACGCCCCCTCCTTCGCGTCCAATCCGGTCGGAAGGACCACAACCAGTAAGGGAGCCCCAGGTCTCCGAGCCATTGTAAAGCCACGCCCACTGACTGAGAGGGATTCTACATCCGGGGCCTCCGCGGAAAGACGCAAGGTTGCGGAGGGAGCGATTCTGGGTAAGGCGAACCAGCATAGCCGCAAAGGGCAGCGGGAGATGTAGTCTTAGCTCACGCGACTCTTTCCACGCCCTTTTCCATGGGAGGTGCAGAGGATACGGTTGCCCCTTCTGGCGGCCAAACGTATCCATTTTCATTACCCTAATGGGATACATATTCAGTGAGCTACTACGTAACACCTATCATTTGGGGGGCGGTTCTGGTGCCAGGCAGAATACTAGTCACTTACTTACCTAATGCTCAACCCTGCAAAACTCACAAAGCCAACGTGTGGAGGGTTAATTAGAGGTCACAGCATCTTGGTGGCAGCGAAGAGCCTAGGACCCAGATTTCCTGACACCCAATGTTTTTTTGTCAAGTTCTACACATACATAAAGAAATACAGTACACTTCATCACAGTATCTCTCTGATTTATGTTTCAAAGGTAATAGGGTCAGGTCTCTGCTTTTGTTAAAAATAATATTCTGTGCACCTTCTTATCATTAATTCCATTAATCCACACATTGTGGAGAGTTGAGAGAATTATGGCCTCTTAATTTTAAAACCTTGTTTTATAGCTAAACACTAGGGTTTCAGGGCCAGGGAAGACTGCTATAGAAGAAGAGGCAAGCTGAGCTTTTAATGAAAAATATAAATTAGAGCAGTAATTTACAGGCCAGCCTCCAAAGTTAATAACCTAGCTAAGCCTCAGGTTCCTTGAAGGCCAAAACCCAATTCTAGGTGATGGCAAGCATTTATCTTTCATCCTTCAGTTTCAAATGAAATAGAACAATGAAGCTGAGAAATAGGAAAATAACACTATTACAATTGCCAGTTAATTGTGGTTAGTTCATACAGGAGATAAGAGCAAATACTGAGTGTTCAAGTGTATGCCAGGCACTGAGCTCAAGTATTTTACCTACACCACCTTATTAATTCTCACAAGCACTGCATGAAGTTGGTATTATTTTCATTTTGCAAATGAGGAAACTGAAATAGGGGTGTTAAGTAAATTTGCCCAAGGTCACACAACCAGTAAGTGGAAGAACTAGCATTTGAACTCAGAAGTCTGACAGGAGCTCAAACACTTGACCACTTAAACATAGGAGGAAGTATTAGACGCAGGTCCTAAATAGGAAGCCTTCAGTACACTTCTAAATAGGAAGAAATGGGGGCTCCCAGCTGACTCAGTCAGAAGAGCATGTGACTCGATTTCAGGGTTGTGAGTTCAAGCCTCATGTGGGGTATAGAGATCACTTAAAGTTTTAAAAATAGGGCGCCTGGGTGGCTCAGTTGGTTAAGCGACTGCCTTCGGCTCAGGTCATGATCCTGGAGTCCCGGGATCGAGTCCCGCATCGGGCTCCCTGCTCGGCAGGGAGTCTGCTTCTCCCTCTGACCTTTCTGTCTCTCATTCTCTCTCTCTCAAATAAATAAATAAAATCTTTAAAAAAAAAAAAGTTTTAAAAATAAATAGAAAGACAGCGAGGGAGCACATTTTGGGAAGGCTCTCTAGGAGCTGAAAACTACAATAGAGATTAGCTGCTGTGAATGGGAAAAGTGTTCCCACAAAATGGAGGCTTTTCGACCAGATGGCATTTCTGATCTCTTAATAGAGCAACAGAACCCAGGAAGCAATCTTCACTGTTCATGTATTTTGATAATCTGGGCACCTAAAAAACATCCTTCATAACTTGAAGTGGTAACGTGTGTCCAGCCAACTTTAAGGGATAGTGGTGAAAACCTCCCTCGGTTACAGTGTGGCTAGAGGGAGCCCAGGAAGCAATGAGTACTTAGTATTCATCCTGGAGCCTATGAAGAAAGAAGGAAGAAAAGCACTGGTCCAGGGTAAGCCTACAAGATTAAATGACCTCTGTGGAAGCAGGCAGAGAATCACAGAACGTCCGGACTGAAAGGTCTCTATCAGGTTACCTACATGATGCTCTCCCTTTCTGATACTACAGGAACACACTGCACATGCCACCAGACTGGTGCCTTGCTTCTGGGCCTCTGTCTTTGCTCTCTCCTCTGTCTGGAAGGCCACACACCATCCACCTTCCCGGGCTAACTGCCATAAAGCCTTTTAATAACCTACATATGTTTCTCTTGGTAGCTGCCTTGAAGTGTTCTACTAGACTCTGAGCTCCTTGGAGGCAAAGACCAGTCAGTCCTATTCATCTTCATATTGCAGGTGCCTGGCACAGAGTAAAGTATGCAATAAATGCTTGCTGCAGGAATGGAGAGGACATCCCTGCCAAATGAATTTCCACATTTTTCATGAACACTTTGTGGCTGGATAGCACATAGTCCTTTAAATCTCATACCCCTAAACCTAGGAGTGGAAAATGAATTCAATTACGTGTAAAAGTGGGCGCCTGGGTGGCTCAGTTGGTTAAGCGACTGCCTTCGGCTCAGGTCATGATCCTGGAGTCCCACGACCGACTCCCTGCTCAGCAGGGAGTCTGCCTCTCTCTCTGACCCTCCCCCCTCTCATGCTCTCTCTATCTCATTCTCTCTCTCAAATAAATAAATAAAATCTTTAAAAATAAAATAATTACGTGTAAAAGCGATCTAGACTGGGCTCCAGTGATGTCAGATGCGAAGCGTTTCTCCGCAGTTATCCTCTCAGGTGGTTAGGATCCTGAGGTTGACATTTTGGTTCTCTTACCTCTGTCTGCAGAGTAATAGGAAGTCAGACAGGCAGCATCCTTGCAGCTTCAGAGTCACAGTTTGTGGCTGTGCTGGGCCAGGAAATACTTAAAACAGGAACACTCACAATAAGCAGCTGTGTCTCAGTAATAATGAGAGTAGTGTCCTTATCACCTGCTGATACACAGTATCATGAGGGAAGGAATCAAATCACCCTGGAAGGACCTGTTCCAATAGCCTTGTTGTGTGTGTGTGCGCACACACGCGCACACACATACACTCACACACAAACTAGCAATACCACCCCAACAGGACAGAGAAACCTTACAGGTTTACGAAGTTGAGGGTCATTCAGGCAAGCTCCATTTGAGGGCTATGTAAAGTCACAGGAGGAACAATTAAATCAATAAATAGGTAGTTTATTAATCAGATTAATAACAATAATCAGGGATTCAGCCAATCTGGCAAGTATGGATGAAAATGAAAGGAGGCCTTTTTCCCCCTCCCTCTCATAGGTTTTTATATCTAAATTACGTGAAAGTGATTCATACACACACCCATTATGAATCAGTATGGGAAATAATTTCAAGACCTCTCCTAGTGATGAAAGTGCAAGGTGAGCTCATTAAGTCTTAGCGATGATTATGTCAGCTGACCACAGTAAGCAGAGAATGTCTGGCTCAGTTTTTACACCCCAAGTCAAAGTTCAAGAAAGCCAGCCAAGATTGCAACTTAAAAAGCAGGGAAGAAAAAAAGCCAACACCCACAATAAAAATAAACACAGTCTGTCTGCTCTGCCCCCACCTTTTCTCCCATACCTCAGTGGGACAATCTGCCATGCAACACAGGTAGAAAGAATCCTAAGAGATGTGAGGAGAGGACACAAGGCCAGAGCGTCTCCTGGGTCCCCTGAAATCATGGGCCTCGGGAAGTTAGGTGGCAAACATAAATGATGACCAAAACTACCAGAGTCACCCAGGTGAGCATGGTTAATGAGAACTATGATACTCAAAACACAGCAGGAAGGGAGGAGGGAAGACCCCTGGGAAGCTGCAGATGCTTCTGCCCAAGTCAGTGTAGCTACCTTCTTAGAGGTTCTAGAGTCAAACCACTACACTCACCAGAAGCAACAGATGTTCTCCCCTCCCTATGCCACCACTGCAGGCGGTGTTCCAGACAAGAGTACACAGTTTTCAGGTTTTGGTTTTTGTTTTTAAGCAAGGTTTAATTAAACTGCACAGCATCCAGAAGAAAGAAATGTACCAAAGAATCCAACCTGAGACCAGATTATACATTGTAGAGGGGTGGGGGGGGTGGGAGGGAGAGGAATCACTGCTTATTGGGAGGGAGCACTGCAATTGGGATATAACTCCAAAATAAATCATACAATAAATTATTTTTAAAAGAAAACTGATCCACATGCAAAGATGGACACACACACACACACACCACACACACACACTCGCGCACACACACACACACACTCTGCACACGTCACTCTAGTCTTTTATTCAGTGTTGACTAGGACTTCCATGCTGGTCCGTGGGAAAGGACAAAGGTTAGACATGAGAAAAGAAGGCTTGGCCCCTCTGCCACCAGTGGAATGAGATTTAAGACAATTAGAGAGGAAACCCACTAGGTTGTTAGAAACAAGAGTAGAAAGAAGGAAACAGTTATCAAGGAAGATTTTAATTGCTTCAGAGAGAGGAAGAAAGCACAGAAATCTAACACAAGTAAAGGCACAATGACCGTGGAGTTGAATGGAACCAAATCCTTCCTTCAGTTAAAAGTTATCCTTCTTTTTGTATGTGTTTTGAAGGTGGCTGTAGTTTTGTTTCATTTCGCTTTTAAGAGAGGAGTCTTGAAGGCAGAGTTGTAATGCCTTCCATTCCCTAAGTCAGGGTGGCTTACAGAAAGCCACCTTGACCACATTGCCAGGGACTGAGATTCAGTAGGGAAAGAAAGGCTACAACTGGAATGTGAAGAATCGGATTTACAGTTGATTTTAGGTTGGGTTTCCAGAAGGACAGACAGCTCAGTGTAGTGCCATCAAAGGGCCTCAGATGCCCTATACTCCACCCCCAGAGCTTTGCAGAAGGAAAGGACCCTGGAGTCACATTTTTCCCCCACTCCCATAAGCACTCAGCCTACAGATTATTTCAAGTGATCAGGAGAATTAAAACACACCCCAACCCTGAGTTGCTCTGTAGCAAGTCTATTTACAATTTTTTCTCACCTCTCCCTGGAGGTAAATCTGGATTTCAAGTTGGGAAGCTATGAGGTGAGGGGATGCCCCCAGTGCAATGACCAGTGGCTAGTCTCCTTGCCTTGGCCAGTTGGGAGGGCTGGGATGCATTTCTGGAGACAAGCAGCCTCACATCCATCAGGTTGGGTAGCCCTAGGCGCCCTCCTCTGGGAGCCCGACTGTGAGGATGATGGGGCTCTGCAGCTGGAGGAAATCCTCACAACAGAAAAACCACACCTGGAATATCAAAGTGATCTGATCCAAGTTTGGTGACCAAAGAAGAGGGGGGAAAGAGGGGCATCTAGCTCATTTAAAAATCTGGAAGCCACTGCTCTGCTTCCCAGAAAGGGTGGAAAGAATCAATTAAGTTTTCCCCACTAGAGAAAAACATCATAAAACCAAACCCACACAAGGGCTTATAACACAGCTTCCTGATGCTTAGTTGGGCAATGTCTCTTCCTTCTGGGAGGGAGGGAATAAGGGGATTAATGGGACTGGGCAAGAGTCTCAACATGAGACCACCCAATCTTCCACTGAAGAGACGACATTCCCACAAGCAGATAAAAAGAGCAGTTTAAAAGGTGAGAAGTTTTAGTGCTCTTGCAGCCGGCCCACCTTAAATCTATATTACAAGCTTTTTACAACATACAAAATAGATCAATAACTATGAGGATCACATTCCCATTCTTTGATAGTAAATATACATGATAATAAATCTGTTATTAACAGAGGGACCAAATAATGTATAAGGCAAAGACATTTAAATAGGTACTGTGCCATCAACATGCTCTCAAGAAGAAAATCCGTCTGATTAGATCCAGGCCCAGGCCTTTTTTCATGAGGCCAAGAAAATGAGAATACAATCAATACCCATGTGACACAGTCCAAATGCTGGGGAATATGAGGGGCAGCAGGTCACAGAAGAGGAAGATATCAGCCCCAATGAAAAGCTAGGGTTTGGCTTTTACTTGTGATTCTTATTTTGATGCTTTATGTTTGCGTAAAGGAAAAAAAAAAGGATACACTTTAATAACATTATACAAAAGGCATCAACTCCCATTTCAAAAACAAATGGGAAGACTTC